TTACATAAAATCATCCCTTTAAAATGATTTATTTAAAAAAATGATCCGCGAGTATTCGTTTTATTGCATTACGAAAAATTTTCCATAAAAATGTCGAGAGTGCCGCCGGCATTAGCATAACCCAAGGTACACCATGAGGAGGTTGCACGGTCGGACTTGTATCTCGTGTGTGTGTGTGTGTGTGTGTGTGTGTGTGTGTGTGTGTGTGTGTGTGTGTGTGTGTGTGAGTGTGTGTGTGCGTGTGCGTGTGTATGTGTGTGTAGGAGCGAAGAGCTGCGTGGCAGCTTGCTGTACCGAAGATCCAGGTTCAAATCCACCCAGAACTACGGTGCTTTGAAATTCGTTGCCAGTGCTATACGGCAATTCATGACGCAAATTGAAGCACGGTCTCTGTAAGGCGATCGCCAAATGGAGGTGACAAAACTGGAGATTGTTATGATTGTGGAGAAGTTGGGAATATAAGAAAATGTAACCCTAAGGGGATCATAAACATTAAAAAAATATATATATACACTTGTAATTAAAAATAATAAAATGTTACAATAATCTTGTGTAATGTAATATTTATAAGATTTATTTGTGCCAATAGTATAATTATTTTTTTCTTTTCTTTAAGATGTGATTTTTAATTGCAACTTAAATCTCTCTTTCAGACTTTATACGCGCGTTTGTAATATTACAACTCCAGATATTTCAATATACATGTACATGAGTGTCATGACCAGTAATGACACAAGATTAATCACTAGTAGACATATCATTAGGTAAACATGAGCGACAAAAATGCGTTGTATGCCATATCAATTATATTGTGCATAATCAATGTGCACGTGCAATAATGCTGAGTCAGGTTTTCGTCAATAAGTGCGTCTTAGTATCTTTCTTTCCAGCATCAGAGAAGAATTAAAAAATTAAGAATGTAAAAAAATTACTATATAAATAAAAGCCAATGTCTGAATTATAAATTACTATTACATCTAATAGTTGTGAGTTTGATAAAATACAGGTATATGGCATCTTTTAAAAAATACTAAAATTATTTAAATTTAAGATATAAATTATTAAAGAGTGGCGAATATATAAAACTTTAACTTTTAAAAAAGAAAATAGGAAACTAGTTTTTACATGTATAATATAAGTATATATATATAATCTGATTCTAATTTAACTTGTTTGTATTATAATGTCGAGATAGATACTGGAAAAGAGTGGGAAAGACTCCTTGTGTGGTTTTTTAATAAACAAGAACTATTAGGAAAATACTCTTTAGTCGAGACTGAACAGTCGTTGCTGAAACATCTCAGAGAGGTAAGCTCTCTTTTCTATACTTATATTATTTTAAATATTTATTTATACACTTCTCAACAAAATTAAAGCATCACTTACTCTATCCTCAAAAAATAGGCAAAATTCAAGAGAGTGTAACTTCGTCAGAAATGATCGTATCAAGATGTTCAAAAAAGCATTTTACAGCTTGAAATCTCTATAGAGATTTCTCTACATATAGAGACTCTATAGAGAGTAGAGTAAGTTGATGCTTTAATTTTGTTGAGAAATGTAATTAGAAACATTAAAATTAAATATAAAACTGTTATTTATGTGATCCGACGATATATTATATACTTCATATTCAATTACTTTTATACTAAACATCTTTATGACAGGGACGGAGAAATTCAAGAAATTAATAAAATCTTGTTACGTAATTAACTTGTTACGTAGTTAGAATTTGTTTCAGTTACAAACAAATCAAGATTACGCACAAATATTAGGATTATTTTATTTATAAGGCTAATGCCTTAGGCAATTATTAATGGGCAAGACAATATTCATCTGTATCTACGTGCATCTGTAGCACGTTATGCTATAAATTATGCCATTAATTATGCTATACGTTGTACTATATTAGCTTTTCACAAATTCAATCAATTTCGCTAAATATGCTTTATTATGGAAAATCACAATAAACTTTAGTTTATTATCGATTTAAATATATATATATATATATATATATATATATAATACGTATAGTAATTTACATAAATTAACGTATAATACTATGATAGTTTCAAGAAACATAGTTACGCTTCAAGATATTATCCTACAGTATCCTTAGTAATCTGAATAATGAAATTCAATCGCAAGCCACACGATTAGTTGCGTATGACGTAATGAATAATCAAGCATATATGGTTCATGATAGTAAAATGTGCACAATGTGCATAATTAATGCCACATATGTTTATGATAATATAAAGTGCAGTAAAATAAAAGCGGTGTGTGTGTGTGTGTGTGAT